AAAGAAAAGGAGCCTTTTCAGTTGAGCAGGGCATGCAAGTTAACATGTGAATATTTTCTGAAGCTAGTGTGTGACCCAGTGTCAAGGCAACAGGCCGAAGATCAGAGTTAGCCTGCAAAGCACTTTTTTTACCGTGTCGGTGAAAGCGTCTTTTGTGGAATTTCAAGACTATGGGGAAAGCGATGGCTGAAACCACTTGCTCAGTACTTCGGCCAATGTCAAGACTCTGGAGCCGACTTATATAATTACACAAGCATGTGGGTGTGAGCGAGAATAGATCCGTTTCTCAGTCTCACGGTGGCTTGTTGCATGTAAACTGAGCTTTTCTCGGAGAAGCGAGCAACTGTGGGTGTTCAGGACGCATGCCCTTGTGTTGCTGTTTCTCATCAACTGTTGCGAGCTAAGCCTTTTTGCACACTAGTGTCAATAGTGAGAGAGGTCGTCAGGATACCATTGTCCAAAGGCATGGCAGGCATTGTGCAAGCAAACCGCAAGGGCGCACCACACAAACATGCTCAAGAAGCGTATGCTGACAGATTTGCGAGTGATGGTGTTGCCATTGGGATGCAGCCTTGTGGGGGTGACTTCTTGTTTATTTTTTGTGGCTGACTTCTTGTCAACGGTGCGCCATGCGGTGGGCTGACTTCCTGTTGCGTGTGCGAAGGTCAAGCGCTCGTGGGTTTTAACCTTCGCAACTAGGGCTTTAAACCTCAAACATGTAGCAGTTTGAGGGTCCATTGGCCACTAAGAAGGAATGAGCCCGAGGAAATGTGGATGTTTGAAACTTTGCAAAGATAGTCAGGGAAGAACCTTTGGTTCAAGATTTGAAATCATGTCAGATTCTGTTCCAAGAAGCGGGTTTGCTGTTTTCCGTTTTCATCACCTTTTAGACTCGATCAAACTAGACACCAAAACGACACCCTGTCCTTGCAGGCTTCTTGCAGATGGCCGTCTGCTTCAGCCAACTCGTTCCTTACAAGACGAAGGTCTCAAAGATGGGGATCACCTCACAGCAGTGGTGCAAAACATCGGCTTAACCTCCTCGAGTTCCGCCTTCGCCGCCTGGACCCCTGGACTGGTCACTTGGGGTGAGGCGGCGGCCGGCGGCGACTGCGCGGAAGTGCGCTCGCAGCTGGGCGACCTGCAGATCCACCAGGTGCAAGCGACGCTCCGGGCCTTCGGGGCCATTTTGTCCGATGGCTCCGTGATCAGCTGGGGCGATCCGGACTTCGGCAGCGACAGTGTCGCGGTGCGAGAGCAGCTGCGAGACGTGCGAGCGCTTCAGGCCTCCGAGCGGGCGTTCGCGGCCATCTTGGCGGATGAGTCGGTGGTGACTTGGGGCGCTCGAAGTTATGGTGGTGACTGCAGTGCAGTTCGAGACCGTTTGAGACGCGTCAAGCACATCCAAGCCTCTCAACGAGCTTTCGCGGCCATGCTTGCCGATGGTTCGGTGGTTTGCTGGGGCCATGCAGGCTGTGGGGGGGACGCTCGTCAAGTCCAAGCTTTGCTCCAAAACGTGGAAGCGATCCAATCGACGGACTCCGCCTTCGCCGCACTGTTGTCGGATGGTTCGGTGATTGTGTGGGGCGATGCCGAGAGCTGTGGTGCCGGCTTGCTCGACGGTGGACCGCGCGACGGCGGTCCGCCAATGAGGCACATTCAGGCGTCCTGGAGCGCCTTCGCGGGACTGCGAGAGGATGGCACTGTCATGTGTTGGGGGAATCCCACTTTTGGCGGAAACTGTGAGAGTGTGCGGCTTCAGCTGACTGAGGTCCAGGACATTCAGGCCTCCACAGGTGCTTTTGTAGCCATACAGGCCAAAGGCAGCCTTGTTGTATGGGGGAGCCGATTCTTTGGAGGTAACTGCACATTTCAGGATCAGTTGAGAGATGTGACAGCGATCCAGGCCTCTGAGCGGGCCTTCGCTGCAATCTTGTTGGATGGCTCCGTGATCACCTGGGGCGAACCAGAGTTTGTTGGCGACAGCAGATTGGTGCGAGAGCAGCTGCGAGACGTGCGAGCGCTTCAGGCCTCCGAGCGGGCGTTCGCGGCAATCTTGGCGGATGAGTCGGTGGTGACTTGGGGCGCTCGAAGTTATGGTGGTGACTGCAGTGCAGTTCGAGACCGTTTGAGACGCGTCAAGCACATCCAAGCCTCTCAACGAGCTTTCGCGGCCATGCTCGCCGATGGTTCGGTGGTTTGCTGGGGTGATCCAGACTATGGAGGAGATAGCAGGGACGTGGAGGACCTCTTGAGGTGCCATTGAGGAATTGCAAGATCTCCAAAACCGTCCTTCTTCCGAAAAGTTCACCAGAGCTACATCTCCATGGAAAATTGATTATGATCACGTGGAGTGAACAACTACCTGCCTGTGTTGGTGTTCGGAAAAATGGTCCTCCGAACGCCGGGCCTTGCCATCGGGCTTGGGATGTAAGTTCGTAAAGACGATTCAGACATTCTGTTCATCGAGATTCCAAAGTTTTCTCTGGATGGATTCTTATGATTGGAAAATCTCGGGACAAAAAGACAGACGATCGCGTTCAATTCCTTCATGTTCGATATTGTTCGCTCATTTCCAATTCTGAATATAGCAGCTCTTCTATCTACACTCCAGGACATATAATGATTCATTTGTTGCCTGTCGTGACTCTACGAACCAGCGTAGTTCCCAGATGCAACACCCAACACCCAAGGGCCCCTACAAGTTGTATCAAGTTGTAGCACTTCACCCATTTCGGGTGGTGATTGGAAGGAGAATATCCTGTAGTCAGGCCGTCAGGCCTGGGTAGTGCTGGTATCTTTTTGAGCATTTGGTGGTGCTGAAGCTTCGAGCCGGAGTTGGCACCCCGTTTCTTCGGGGCTGAACGGAACACGCGAGAACCGGGGGCCATGCCAGCCCTGTCCTGTCAGCCCCATGCCAAGCGCACATGCCAAGTCAACCGAACGTACTTGGATTTATGTACGGTCCGCGTGACCGCACTGATGGGCCTTTTCTTCGTGACTGACCCGGAACTGGGATCTCATTCCGGTCACTTTGAAGGTGCTGGCTCGACTCTTCGATAAAAGAGGTTCTCCTTTTTCCTACTCTTCCTACTAGCCAGTTTGAACTCGAACTTGCTAGGAGCGAGCTTGTCTGTACCTTGACTCTTGACCTTTTTGTTTTGATTCCACCTCAATGGTCCCTAGTTATCCATCGATCTGCTCAACGAGCTGCTGCGGTTTCACCGCTCGGTGCCCGGTTGAATCACCGTCCGACACCCATCGACTCGTCCGCGGTGCAGGTCGAACCGCTCCAGCCGAAGATTCTGCTGGGCGGCCTCTTAGCCATCTTCGCGCAGGCCGGGCAAGGGGGGAGATTCCCAGAACTTTTCCATGTCAGATGTGCAGCCTGTGGAATGATGTGAATTTGGTTAAACATTTGGGTACTTTCATCAGCGAAGATGGTCCTCACTTGACCTTTCTTGGGGGATATAAGTTTTTCTCCACTAAATTCACTAAATATGAACCGATGGAACATTGGGTTGAGTCAAGCTCTTTTTTCTCAGGGATCTCGTGCCCAACAGGCAGAGGCGGATCAGGCGGATAAGCGGATAACCTCGACCTGCTCTCCGGACCATCGAACGGGGTCGAATCTAGGGTCCTGATACAACTCGCTCGCCTTCAAAGGTTGTTAAGCAAAAGTTGGACCTGGTGTTATAGTCCAAAATCCTGAGTAAAACAATATAGAATCATGGTTGTTTGATGTTGATTGGTCAAGCCCATGATGAACTCCTTAAGCTGACTTTTTTCAACCGCCCCACTGAGCTGTTCTGTCGGCTGTTCGTGCAACCCCTGGAATTTTCTTGGAAGACCCAGTCTCCGTGAAAAGTGCAAACCCAGCAGCAGCCTGAAGATGAGCTGTACTCCAGGAGTATAGGAGTTCAGCTTGACCTGGCTGTTTGTTTCGATGAAGATGTCCAAAAAGCCGATGAAGATCGGACGCCCGTCGCGTCGTCACAGCTGGGCTGGGCGGCTGGGCGAGTGGGGGCGAGAGGATCGTCCAAGCGATGGAGCCGAGTGGACGGGATCGCCATGGATCGCGTCGGAGAACGAGCTCGCTTTGGGAGAAGATTCGGTCGCTAAGAGATGCGGAGTGTATGTTCAGTTACCCCAAGTTCTCCCAAGATCCTGCCAGGTCTATCTGTGGGGCAATGTCTTCGTGACGCTCTTCAAGCCGAACCGCGCCGTCGCGCCACCGACCGCGGCGACAGGCAGGAGGTTTTGGCGCCACTATGGACATTCCTTAAGTTCCAAGGGTTCTTGGCATGCAGCGTTAGGGACAAAGACTCTTCCAGTTGGGCTGAGACTAGAGTGGGAGGATGGGGTACGGGCTGCTCAAGACGTAGAAGAGCAAAGCAAAGGACCAAGATGCATGAGGAGACCCTGTCGTTCCAAGTCATTTCACAGAAGTGTCTCAGTGATTCCCCCTAGCAGGAGGTCCCAGCAGGTTATGCTTCCTGGGTGTACCGGTTTCTGGGTCTCCATCCATTCATGATCCACTCACTTTCAATCGGCCTTGGTGGCCTTCGTGGGAACAAGGCCTGTGGATTGCTCAGGCTTCGCCCGCTTGAACCATTCTTGACCAGGTGACGCGCGCGCCGGCGGCGACCTCAGAGGCCGGTGGATCAGAGATTGAGGCGGCGCCAGCAAACAGATCGGGACCCTCCAACCAGTCTCGTGGCCAAAGGTGTTGAGCTGCCGGACGCCCGCCTTCGGCAAGACGACCTGGGAGACATGGACAGTCGAGACCCCCGAGACCGGCGAAGGTCCGGAGGCAGCTCGTCAACCGCCCTTGGTGTTGGGGACTCAGGGAAGCAGCAGCAGCAGGAGGAGTAGTAGTACTAGGAGTGGGAGTAGGACATAGGAGTCGAGTCGAGTCAAGTCGAGTCGAGTCGAGTCTAGTCTATATAGTCTAGTCGTAGCAGCATTCAGCCTTAAGGCTGGGTCAACATTGTCAGTTGTCAAGCTTGCTTCAAATTTGACATTTGCCGGTCTTACTTACGCAATCTTCGTCGGAACATGGGCTACAACTAAACGCGATGGTTTGAAGTGTATCAACATGTTTCTCAACCATGGCGGCACCCATCGAACACATTCGGCCAACCATGGTCACAAGCGATCTTCAAACTGGCAACATCAACCATCATCAGTAGGGGTGGGTTGAGTCGTCAGACTGTGGCTTCTGCTTGCTACAATATTCTCAATTTGTCCCCCAACAGAACACCTTGACGACTTGATCATGAATTGGTCCAGTGCCCTCAGGCTTTATGGCGCTGGTGGCGCAGTGGGAGAGGCGGAGATCAAAAAGTAGAACTTTCGACAAAGACAGACGCCTTATGGTTTCCAAACATTTCGAAAAAAGAAACAGTCCCTCTAGGCCTCCACACCTTTTTTCACAGAGTTGGTTTACCAATAAGCTGTTCTTCGAGACCGACGCCTCAGGTTAGGCCTCACTGCTAAGGATTGCACGACCAGGCCTTCTGTCCAAAGAAGCGGCGTCTGGGACACACAGGATCCGTCTCCCGAACTGTTCAAAGCCCAAGCCGGGTGTTTCCTCGCTGCAGGTGCGTCCTCTGGTGGGCGCAGGCCCAGAACTTGCTCCCACGCCTGCTGGGAGCCAGGAGGGGGGAGAGCGGTTCCGGTGGGAGTTCGACCTCGAACATGTCCGGACTCAACGTGACGGATCCGGGATGATCGAATGGATCCGACAGGACCCAGCAAAAAAAAAAGGCAGTTTGATCTCTTCCACATGGGCCATGTGAGGACACAGGATGATTGGGCTCGCAGGGGGCGCTCAGACTATGAGACCGGCTCGTGTGTGCGTGGTAGCTGAGATGCATGGTGCTTGCGAGGGCGCAAAGGGTTTTGATCATCGAAGCTCACTCTGAGCTTCGATGCTGGGGGCGCTGAGGTGAAACCAACGTTGTCTTCATGAGCCGCCTGGGGGTGTTGGATGGGCCCTGTTTCACAAGCGGATGGGCTTGGATGCGCGCCGTTACTGCTCTCCAAAAGTAGGTCGGCCGTAAGAAAGACGTGGCCCCTGACCAGTGAGCTGAGCTCTCACGAATCTTCCAAAGGAAAAAGCCACGGTTTTGGGGTCCTCAGTTGGAATCCAACCCTTGCATCCAAGTCCACTTCGGAACTCATGAGTCGCGATACCAAAAAAGTCGTGGCCCTCTGCTCATGCATCTGCCGACGAAAGACTCGCCCACGGTTGGCTGGTTTGAAAGGGAACAGCTTGGTTTGAAGGGCGACTTCAACGGGCAGATCTCCCCCCGCTTGCGACATTTTTTTTTCAAATGATCAACGACCGAACCCTGGCAAAGTAGAATGGCTGATATTGAAAAGGATCCATCAACTAGTAACAAGAAGCTACGAACGGAGCATTTCGGGCATCGCTACGAACGGAGCGTTCGGACGCTAGGGCTAGGGGCTCCTGGCCTTACTACTAGGAACAAGGGCATCGCTATAACCGGGGACCCCGGTTTGTTTGAAAAATCACCGGTGAAACCCGTGACCGTCACGAACGCCCTTGCACCCGTCGCGTGGCACCACCGAAAACCAACGAGAGCGACGAAGCACGGTGCGACGAAGCACGAGACGTGCGGGTGAAGCTTCCGGACACGCTTTGGTTCGTCTTTGGGCCTTTTTGGATGGTAAACATCTCAGTTCAGATTGAGTCGTAAGACTGTAAGGCCTTCATGTTCTTCATGTTCTACAAAGAAGCTCCTTCTTCTTTGTAACACTTCTTGATGGATGTGTCATTCAAGAGTCTACATTGACCCGACCGGAATTGTTGGGTGAAAGGGTGAGCGGAGGATGCGTGCAGCCGTGGACAAGAAAGCGCTGCCTGTTGGAGCAGGTGTGTTTGGAGCGGAAAGGAGTCTCCCCAGAGACTGTCACAGACACGCAGAGACATGTTTAAAGACTTGGCGCTCAAAATCACTCAAATCACCGGCAACTGGCATTTGCTTTCATGAGAGGAAACTCCCATCTCTGCTCTGAAGAAGTCTGGGTCAAGCGGAGTCGGTAAAAAGTGAGCCGCCAAATTTCTGTAAAGCAGGGACTTACAAGTTAATCTTCTGGAGTTGACTCTTGTGTTTGTCTCGTCATCAACAAAGCAGCCCGATGCTTAATGTCCCACAGTTTTGGTTTCGCGCAAGACATCGAGTCACTAAGAATCGATATCTACTTCAGGTCACCCCTTAGACGTCCTCTTTCTTTTTCTTGCCCGGCCGATCAAGCGATATCAAGCGACACACACAATGGACCAAGCAGGTTGCAAGAGCAGAGGCAGTTTTCCGGACCGTTCTTGGTGGTTTGGTAGTTGGCTCCTTTTGGTAGTTGGTGATCACACATAATTAGAAGACATACCAAGCTTGAGAGGTGAAGCACTCCCTCCATTCTTTGGTACTGGTAAAACAGATGCGACCTCCTCTGGGTGCAGGACGCAGGGCCTCCCGCAGAAGACAAGCCTTCGGACAGTTTCGGTTCATTGGATGGTATGGTACATGCATGGACAGCTGTGAGAATCAAAGGCAATAAGGATGTTGACCCTCCTGTTGATGTCCAACCCTGGGGTGAGACAGTTGACCTAACGCTTCCAAACACGCTTCCTAACGCATTCGAGAAGCATGGGTCGCACTCGAAGTCGACCCCCACGACATGTCCGGGAGGCCTGTTGGATGGGACAGGGGTGGGTGGGTGGTTTTGAGGGTCGGTCCCCACCGAATCGGAGACGGGCCAGGGCCGCCAGGGCCAGGAGACCTAAGGCCTTAGGGTTCAATTGGCCCCTACCTTACATACACTCATACGATATCATGCAGTATATATAGTAATAGTTCTTCCAGGGGGGCATGTCACATCTGGAGCGTTTTTATCTTTTATATATTTTTTTGGACATGCTCCTTGCGACTCGGTGTTGAGGGTCTGCCGCGAGATCGTTGACGCGGCCCCGTGAGATCGTTGAAACATGTCGAGCGCTCCAACGGTGGTTTTGTTTGAGAATACCCAAACACTCCATGTATGGCATATATGCCTACATTGACCCCCAAAACCACCCCAATGTAGGCATATATGGCATACATGGAGTGTCTGGGATAATTGTAAATTCTCCGGTACGTCGAGTCGACCCCAAACCAGATAGACCTGTCGATGGTTCGACTCTTGCATGTCGTTGCATGTCGTTGAGTTCGACCCCGACTCATGTGCCGACTCCATCACCTGCAACGGAGGTACCGAGGGGTGCGGAGGTACGGTTTCTGGAGCTGAAGACACCACATGAGCAAGGGTCAAAACCCGCCTAATTGTGACATGAAAGAGCCTTGTCATAAGGCTTTCTCGCGTAAGCCAAAGACTGAGTCGCGTAAGCTCGCGTAAGCAGATTTTTCAGATCACATGTTGCGTAAGCATAGTCGAGAAAGTTGAAAACCATGTTTGGAATAGCTGTAGCCTTGATCAGGGAGATGTTGAGTTGCAGTCAAATGCATTTGTTCAAGAGCCAATCTGTTGTTTATTTGCTGGTGGGCCTATCAAGATGCACTGGCCAAAGGTTCACTGGCCAAAGGGCAAGAGAGCATGGCCTATCAACCATCAATGCAACTTTTAGAGAGATGCACGATAATCCGCGTAAGCTGCGCGTAAGCTCCGCGTAAGCTCCGCGTAAGCTCCGCGTAAGCCTACTTTGTGTTTGTGAGTACTTGCCCACAATGCCTCCGAAAGCAAAGCCTTTCTCTGAACTGCAATGGCGACAAAGACAGCGCGTCCTGCAAACTATTTCTGAAACCTTCCAAGCGCATTGCCCGTCAGTATCAGAAGCTGAAGCTCTTTTACATGGAATAGTTCGAAGCTCTTTTACATGTGCGAAGAGAAGACGGAAGATGACCCAGCAGCGCACCCCTCAGCCTGGTGATCAAGAACTTGATGCCTCTGATTCGTCTTCTTCCTCATCTTCTGCTGACTCGTCTGACAGTTCTTGAGCATAACTTCTGCTTGGAAAACAACTTGCGCGTAAGCTGCCGCTGTGGTGTGGTTAAAGTTTATGTTTCGCGTAAGAGTGCGTAAGCTTCAAATAAGTCCCTTTCCCACGCGTAAGATAAAACCTGGGGCGCGTAAGCATTGCGTAAGTGCATGCGTAAGCAAATCCTTACGACATAGGCCAATTACACGACCTTTTGACCGCCGCTCACATGGCCAATGGTGCTTTCAGCATATCAAAACCAACTAAGATGTGACATACCCAAGGATCCAACCATATCCGAAGGAACACCCCGAAATCCACCCCAGCCACCATCTGACGGTCGGTAGTTGGAGCTGTAGGAGTAAGACCTGGACCATCCTGTCTGGGTGTCCTGGCTGGAACAGTAGTCAGTAGTAGTGCTTGAGCAGTGCTTGGGCATGTAGTCTATTTCTTGAATTTCATTTGGGGTCCACACAGCTGCTGCGTGGCTTAGCTCTTCCATAACCTGGAGCATCTCAAGGGCTTCAATCGAACCACTCCGGTCGGTCCATAGGCAACTATTTAGACAACTCTGTTCCCAAGTCGAACTTCTGCACCTCCTGTTTTTGGAGATGGAAACCCCGTCCTTCAACTCCTGGTGGAGGGACCCTCCCCTCCAACCCCCCCTTCGGCCGGACCGCGAGCCGGCCTCCGTGCGCCACGGAGCTCGAACGCAGCCAGGCGGAGAAGGCGTGCTGCTCCGCCGCCGCTGGAGGTGCGGCGGATGAGCGGAGGGGAGCGGAGGGAGAGACAGAGCTTTTCGATGCTTTTCGCCAGGGACCATATGGTATTTTTTTATGGTAAATGTACACTAACATGGTCAAGAGTCTACAAACCACCTGAACTGTTGAACTGGGGGGTTTCTGGAAGTTTAGTCTTTTTTCTTTTTTTGATCCTTCGAATGAAACCACGAAAGAGCATTGGAAGATAAGAGCATCACCTTGGCCCCTTGGCAGAGTGTCAGAGGGTTGGCTTGTGAACTTTGTCATGCATATGGCATACGTGAATCCGCTGGGACAAGGGTTCTTGGCCTTTCCGTGTGTTCTCATGTGAAACTCAGTATCTGCAGTGGTCATCTCTGATTGCCCGACTTAGCTTGGGGCACCTGCAGTATGTGTTCCTTTGTTTGGATCATCATCATCATCATCATCATCATCATCATCATCATCAGAACATCTTGACGAACCTTCTGCAAAATCACCCAAAGAAAAGGACACCTTGCCCTGTACAACACGTTGCTTCCAACCGTCCGCGCCTCGTCTCGTCTCGAACGACGGCCGCGTCTCGTCCGAAGGAAACGCCGCCGTGGAGACGACGAAGCCGGTGTCTCGGTGAGACCTGTGGATGTGGAGCGCTCGTGGGAGCTCTGCGCTCGTGGATGTGGAGTTGTGTGTGAAATACGGAGCAACGACCCCGTTCTCGGAGACCCAGGGTTTGTAGATGTCTAGCACTTGGAATTTCCAGGGTTGGAGGGTGTCAGGACCTGAAAGTTCGTGACCGTCCGACTGAGATGCTAGGTCCTAGGTCCGAGGTCACGAACAGGCCAGTAAAAGGTCACTTAGAGACTCCAAGGATTTACTTTGAAAGTTTGGGTGATGTTGTTTTGTGCAACTTGGATACACTACCTTCCCAGCTTCAAGAGAAAAGGCTGCTGAGCTGCTGTTTGGGCGCCTAAGGAGCAGTCTGTACAGCAGCTAGCTCGGGCATGGATGGAAAAGCATCGGCCTACAGCAGATTTGCCACATTCAGAAGAGTACAGCTATCGTGGCTTGGATTGCAACTGAGCCCTTGCACAAGAGCCTCGACAACAAGCTGTCCTGTACCGTGTGTAGCAAAATCCCGCCAATCAGCCAGGTTCGTTCGGCATACGCGACGTATATAGTAGCACCAGCTCCGATGTGGGGCACCCTTCCCGGCCCGCGTGCATCAGCCAACCGCGCTGGTCGCTATTTCCCAAGAAAGATGGGCCAGGAGTCACCTGTCGGGGTGCCGGTGCCCAGCTACTTCGCTCACTGGGACCAAACACCACCCAACTCCATGTGACCCCGGGGGGGACCAGTTTCTGTTTGAAGAGGAGAATGGTCTTTCCAGGGGCCATGCCATTCACGTAACCATGAGAACGTTGGAGAAAGGCCCATTCACGGAACCGTTGGAGAAAGGCTCTTCAACGGCTCAAAACGCTCATGACTTGGGCCTGAGAAGATTCTACGTTGACCCATTGGCCCTTCAGTTGACCAAGTCGCCCCACTGTTGACTGTGCACGAAGAGATGCGCCAACAGCGCTGCTCCAGTGGTAGTAATTTCCTCGGTCTCCGCAGGCAAGTCCTGTGGTGGCTGGGTGAAGAAGAAGGACGCCAGGCTTGGGACACAGGAGACTGGTCGGCGCCGGCGTTGTCAGCAGGTTAAGGAAGGATTGAGACTTCCACATGAGCGACAAAAGCATGTATTTCGATTATTTGTTTTTTAGAGCTTTCTTTTTTTCTTGCTGTTATGGTTTTGTTACTGTTTCTCAACTTGGTGGTTCTCTACTTATGATTATATTATATTGGGTCTGTTGTGCTTTGTTATGGTTTCATATGATTTTGATATCATTTTGATACCAGAAAGCTTCGAGAGGGCTTCTTGAAGGCTTTGGAGTGGCCCAAAGGCTTGGGAAAAGGTTCCCTTGTGGGGGGGAGGACCTGGGTGGCTGGACCACAAGAAAGCCATAAGGAAACCATAGGCAAAATCATAACAAATCATATCAATTCACAACAAAATCGCAACAAAAACCATAGCCACATTTTCTATCAAATTCATGCCTCCAACCGTATCATAACCATAGGCTCTGTTAGGCATAACAAAACCATAAAAGTCACACAGGCAGGATTTTCAAGCACCTGCATGCCAGCACCAGGCACTTTGCGGTACTACCAGCAAGTTGGCGCAACCGCACTCTGCTGCAAATACTTACTCTGCTTGAAACGCCCCCTCCCTACTACCTCGGCTTCAAACCAGGCTTCTCGAGCCCAACGCCTGTGTAGACACCTGCGAGAGCCTGGATGTGACCGACAATTGATGGCCAATCACACAAAATACCTCAAGCAAATATCCCTGGTTGGTGCGTCAGCATTTGGCCTGGCGCTTTGCCTGGCGCCCACTCCCGGGTGCCTCAGTAAATCCATGTGAACCCGTGTGGCACCTTGTATTTTTCGGAAGATCCAAGGGAATAAAGGAAGACATGCACCTTCCAGCGGGTCGAACTGGGAGGTAGCTCCCTATTTGGGCTACACACCGATTGTCTCCGGCAGGCGTGGCGTGGTGTTCCGTTGGCGCTGGAGCTTGGCCACTGGGAAGGGTTGGAGAAGTCACCAAAATATCGCGTCGCCAAGCGAGGGGATGGGGCCAGGTTCTGGCCAGATCAGATGTTTCATGCTCCTTTGTGATCCTGAACTGACCACCCAAGCTGGATAGCCACAAGCACAGCGATCCTATACGCGGAAACGCACTGGGGCAGGCTCTCGCCAGGGCTGCAGCTACTCACAAGCAGAAAGAATTTGTGATTGAATTTTGTGATGATTTGTTGAGACATTTGTTCGGATTTGTTAGGCAGCTGTGGATGAGGCCAGCTTTCTCTGCCAACCAGCTTCTTCAAAGTGACCTTTTTGAGGGTCCCTAAGGCCCTAAGTGAACCTTTAGAGGTTGACCTCAACCTCGGATCTCAAAGAGGGTCAGTTTAAAGAATAAGAACCACGATCAGGAAATGTGTATTATAGTACGTTTCTAGTATTTTGCATAGTGATCCCCAAATAGATTCAATAAGAGAACAGTGAACCCCCTCCAAACATCTCTTGAGACATTGTTTCCAATCTATCTTGGTGCTGAGGGTGAAAGATTCCTTGCTCCGTCCCCCATCCTTTATCCAGCTGGTGACGTCCACTGGTCCATGTTCGAACACGAACGCCGGTGCCTTTTGGCAAGAGGTTGGGTCCTGGCGGCTTGGCCCGGAGATGCCTCGTGACTGCACGGCAAAGCCGTGCAGTCCTGAAGGACACCGGTGGAAAAACAGCGGCAAACGCTGAGGTGCCACCGGTGAGCTTGGGCGGAGGTGCTTCTCCGGCAGGACGGTGGTTTCAGAGTATATAGGTGGCACAACCCCCAAGAGGACTTTTAGATGGGGGTCCATATACACAATCTTTTGGGATTGTGCCATCCATGCTTCATGTGACTACACACTATACACGTTTAGTAGCTGCAAGTTGCTCCTCAACAGTATTTAACCCAGACACGACCTGTTTGAGACTGGCATAATAATTGCCGAGGGGTGGTTGACCTGGCGTCAATGTATAGATATATATATTCCACTCAACATGCTGACGTTTGCACTACTGTATTCTATCAGGAATCAGGATTGTCTTCCAATAAGTCCCAAGAAGAATCCAGGGACCGGAGTGGTTGACAGTCCTTTCAGCAGTTTGAGGGCCCCGCCACTCTGTGAGGACAGCACCACAGAAATCGCTTCCGACACTTCGCCACAGCGCGGCTGCCAGGGACGGAACGGGGGTCACCGACCTCCTGGAATCGATATTGCTTTCATGACTTTTTTGCTGTCACTATGGGTATTCTTCTTGATCCATGTAATACTTACATGCATACTGCATACGGCATCATCATGTGGCATTTACCCGGGCCACCACCCGTCCGATGGACGGTATCTATTCTAGTCCTATGGACGGTTATGTCATGTTTCTGTTGTGGTTCGGCATTCCGATTTGACTGGTCCGATGGCATGCCAGTGGCGTGCAAGATCCAGAATGCCACGTAGTTAGACCATTCGTCGCACCTTTGGGTCTGAGACGCGCAACTGTGAAAACAAGTTCTGAGATCCACAGGAGAAAGAAGAGCAAAGAAACGCGACAAACACCACTCACAGATGTGATTCTCACGGGTGAACACCATGTGAGCAACCGACCAGTCCACCATGTAGCTCGCGTTTCCCACCGACACGAGGGTTTGGTCAACGGGTTGGTCTCCCCACGAACTATAACCATGGGATAAGACTGGGACAATCCAGATGTAAGAGCTCTTCCAGCACCCGACTCTACAGGTGTGTTTAGCACCCGAGGGTTGTGAGGTCAGAGGTTCCCGCATGTCGGACATGATCAACCCATCCCATAGTCCCATAGTCATAGAGCATGGGGCCTTTGATCCACACCGGGGCCTTTGATCCACACCCATGACCTAGATCTTTCAACTAGGCGATTCAGGCGAGACCTCATGAGTCCTCAAGGCGTCCTCACAGATCAGGACCGGACATGGGTGGCCGACGGCTGGACGACTGGACCAGTTGCCCTACTTGGGACTACCCTAAACAACTTAGAATGTACATATAGGGATCTCCAGCCTGGACACCCATGTCCAGGATGGTCCAGGCTCTCTTCAACACCCAGATACATTTGCTACTGCCGGCACCGCTGCCACTGTTCAACGACGGAACCGAGGAAACAGGCTTCGGGCCAGTGCCGCCCTTCACGGGCAAGCGGACCGTCTTGGACGACGACGATGACCACCCATCCCGGGTGCGGAGAGTCCGGCCGTTGAAAAAGGGCGCGGAGATTCCGGAGCGCCCAAGGAGTCGAGTGGTGTGGTGTCTGGCTATGCCCTACATAGATATGGATCCCTGAAGACCACCACGCCTGGCTGCTTTTTTCAGGGAAATACGATGCCAGTCCTCCCAGGTCGTGTCTGGCTTGAGCAACTTGCAGCTCTTTGGAACTCACCAGCTCGTGGCTAGCTAGCAGAGCCAGCAGCGGGGGGACTGAAGAGTGGGAGGGGCCAACCGGAGCTCCTTCGGCGCCCCTGAAACATCATGCACTTTCGGTCAAGAGAGCGAACTTGGAGCAGATTGTGAGACCCCCAAACTGCCACAAGCCTGGCAAAAGGTGAAATTGAACCCTGAGAAGCTCAGACAAAAGGAACTACAAGCAAAAAGAAGCTGGTTTGGAAAGGATCTCCGAGAAGAAGATGAAGAAGCAGAACACGGAGCAGATTTGTTCCCGAGAGCCTCTGAAAAACTCAGGGGTCAACGGGGTCGATGGAAGGGTTGCTCGAAACTGGTGGCTGAGGTCCAAGCCGAGTAGACCATGTGGACCAAGAGCCACCTGTGACCAGTTGTGACGTGTGACGTTTTTCGAAGAAAGAACGATGCGGAGACCCAGCACGTGCCGCTGCAAGGAGACTTTCCAGAGACCCAGAACTATACATAAACGCGATAGATACAGTGTTCCAGTGTTCCGAGTCTGATACCGACGGAGAACCCCCATGGTCATTGGCAACTTCAAGGCAAGGTCATTGACTGCATGGTAACAATATGCAACAATCGCGTGCCAACAAAACTCATAACAGAAGAGCCTGTCAGAAGTTCACAATTTTTCTCCATCTCATTTAAACTGCGCGAGTAGGGACGTCCCTGGCCGTTGCCATGGTTCTCTGGAGATCCACCAGCACTGCACGTGCGGGGCCCATGGTATCCGGTTCTCCAGCCCGAACGCGCGGATGGGCGAAGGCTTCGTTGTTGCGTGCAGTGGTTCAACTCTGGACGACAAGCTTGGAACTTTTGCAGCCCCTTTTGGCACCCAAAGGCCGCAAAATCCCTTCAGATCCTGGCAGGGCTCTGCGTGGGCCCCTTCTTCGCCTCTTGGCCTCGCCCACGCGAAGGGGCGAGGACACCCAACCTGAATCGGACCTGATCGGGGGGGGGGTCCGGACCTTTGAACACCCGACCTGATCGGGGGAGGTCCGAAGCAACGAGAACCGACCTTCGCCGACCGTGTGGCCCCGCCCGACCGCCCACAGGTGCCGTCTTCCTCCGCGGCCGCGCGGCGCGCAAGAGGCAGATCCTGAGGACTCGAAGGTGGGTGCCGATGGCTGGCTGGCGATCTTTCGGATGCGGAGGTTGCTGGGTGAATCCCTCCGGTCTCCCAGTCTCCCAAAGATAAAAAGCAGCCACCCAGTCATGGTTGACTGCTTTTTTGGGGAAAACATCCGTAAGCAGCTGGTTTTTTGGTCTTTCAAGATGCTTTCCAGGTGGATTCTTTTCAGCCTTTGCGTCAGGGATGATTGAATGAACAGATATGAAAGCATTATCGTTTTTCTTCGTTTTCGACTACCAAGCTGATTGGCCCGTGCTTGAAGTGATGGCCGCCCACCTTATGAAGGTTTGAGGATGGAGAAAGCATAGAAGTGCCGTTTAATCTGCCTGAAGTGGAAGCTGATGAGCCATGCTGAAAAGACTCGGTGGTCCAAGTTCAGGACTTTCCTTTACCTCGGTCTCTTCGAACGCCGGAATCCTTGGACCCGACTCGCAAGACGCGAGGCGGCGTTCTTCACGCGAGAGCGAAGACCACGGCGCGGTGCCAGGCGCGACCTCGCCTCACGTGGTGTCGGTGTCAGGCGTGTGGAGGTCGCACAAGCCGAGCAGGTGCGGTTAGAAGTGGAGGTCAGGCATTCAATGAAGGCTGTGCTTTGGACACCTTCAGGTACCCCAAGGTACAAGCGGGGTGTCGGGGTGTCGTCCGGGGAGGTCGGTCTAAGGGGTGGGGCAGGGTCTCCGAGATGGCTCGTTTTTGGGACTTGCGCAGCTTGTTGGTTTCGGATCCACATTGGCTGGGTGAAAAAAACATCGGTGAACACCGGGCCGAGGCAAGGCAATGTGAGAGACGATCTACCTGGATGAGTGTGGCAGCTCCCACTAGTTACTTCTCCTAGTCATAGAGCAGCACTGGTTGGTTCAACATGGACGTCCGGAGAGGCTCCGAACCGCTATGTGGCACGCTCTGGGCACGGACCGTGCCACATCCATCTCGAAAACCCCGTGCACTGCGACGTAGAGACACAGACCGCCCCAAAAGACTGACCGGTGGACCCTAGAACGATCGCGACGCACCAACAGACTGATCGGTCGGAAGGGTCACATGGTGATCCATGGTCCACGTCACCGATCACCGCGACATGGTGGAGGACCATGGACTCCAACTCCCGAATCGATCCCTTGGAACCCGAGCAGCACGAGGGCTCTGCGAGCCGAGCCGACAGAGCTCCGCGAGCACCTCAAGTGAGGAGGAAACTTGGCCGCTGCGTCCACGAGAGGCCCGGCCGACAGCTGGACTGATTGGAGAAGAGTGCCGAGAACGGGGGGGAAAGGTGGGCGGTGAGGGGAACACGAACAGCGTCAAACAGCACCCGACTCTTCAAATTTAGCTCAACAAACGAAACCTGCAACAGGGCCTCACGAGGAGTTTTGAGGAGACCCGTTGTTGTGCTGGGAGATGGAACACTGTTGCTCCGAAACAAGCTGCTCCATGTTTTTCCGGCAAAGAAGCAGATGTCGACTCACATGCAATCGAACCTGACGTCCCGTCTGAACCTGACGTCCGGACCACCCCAGAAAGAGGGCTCGCATAAAGATCTGAGGGCCCTAGACGACAGTGTGGTCCGACAGCCCAATAGGAGTAAGATACGTAGGCATAACTCATGTCTAAAGATGGGAAAGCGTACCAGAAATCTGTCGCAGGTTTCTATATGTCACTGTATTGTCTGGCCTGTATTGTCTATAAGTGTTGCCTGTACTGTCTGGTGATGGACGATGCGATTGAAGAAGGTGATGATGAAGCTCATGACAACGACGGGTACCCGGTGCGAACAAAGCTTTCCCTGTCCACAACCAATGGATGGGACTGGATCATTGGCAGATGAGTGACCGGGGCGATTTTCAGATGTTGGGTCAATGTAGGTCAAGCCAACAAGACTCTCCGAGACTGGAATATATATACATTGACCCCAGGTCAACCACCCCGATAGCTTGGCAAAAAATGCAAGTCCCATGGAGTGTCTGGGATATCTACAATCTGAGGGTCACCCACAGCCCCGAAAAGACGCTTTTTCCTTTCCTATAGTAAAACAGAAGTCATTTTTGGGCTCCAAAGGTACAGCATGAATTGTTGGGGTCTGGATGGACACCAATGGACACCCAGCTTTGGCTTGACCTCCGGGGAGACATGACACATACTGAGACGAGGTCCCTCGTCACCTGGGCTCCCTGTGTGGTTGGGGCCAGTTCTTGTTCCAGCACCCCAATTCTTCCGTTCGTGACCGACCTTGATGCCCTTCAACTTGAGGATGTTGGTTCGGGCACGGAGAAAAGAGGGCCGAAGCCCGGGACTGGAAGAAGTTCGGGACTCTGAACGACTCTGAAGTACCATGGAGATTCCTTGGATGGATTTTCTAATTCGGGACTAGTCTAGTTGGTTCTTATCACTCTCTCTCTCTCTGTTTATATTGAAAGGCCTGCAACCCAACCGTCATCATCCACTGTTTATGTTGAGTTGGTGTTGAGTTGGTTTCATAGTGTAAAATCCTTATAACAACGGTTGTTCGGTAAAACCATTCAATCCATGGGGGGCCAGGAAGCCTAGAAGCATGTTGCTTAAAACTTGATGAGGGGCAGATTGTGGAGGGCAGTGGACTTGCCCGAAACTTCACCTACATCACCGTCCAGCCGTGGTGTTCTCTTGGAGGGAATCCACCCTTCCTTCCCCTTCCGATAGGTGTTCACCTGGCATAAGAGAGGCAGATACACAATAGATAGATTAACATGGAAGTGGAGTTCACCACCTATTTGGTATTCGGATTTCATGCTCATCCCGGGAATTGTTTGGAGTGCCGCGATGGTCCGACCTCGCCATGCCAGAGGCGGACCTGGGCGATTTCCTCTTGCCGTGCGGTTTGTATCAGGCGCAGCCGTGGGGCGCAGCCGTGGGTGTCCAAGTCTTGATTGTGTCTCCATCTTCAAGAGTTGCTGACTGGCCAGTTGGACGCCAGGTCACAAAACGATGAGAATAACCCCAGAAGTTCCAGAGTTCAACCGAAGTGGAACCCTCCTCTTTGTTACCTGCCTGGCCTTTGTTGCCTGCCTTGTCACATGTTTGACGATGAAGATGTGCACAGACGGTCTGAAAGGATGACGCAAGACGCCGAAGTCAACGCTCAGACTCATCAGACTCATCAGACTAGCCGACGATGCTTCGGTCACCTGAAGGTCCTTCGGCGGGTGGGTGTCGCCACGCGTGGGAACACCGGGTCGCGCCATCTGGCGACCCGCGACCCGCGGCCAGGAGCAGGTCGTGGAGCTGATGTATCGGCCCCTGACGCCTGAGGTGCGCCCCCCACAGATGGCCTCAGACTGCCCCCACAGATGTCTCACATGTTCTCCTTTCATTCACCCTTTCCCCGCCTTTTTTGCCCCTTCTGCGACCAAGTCTCAAGTCGGGTTTTCGAGACATTCATCCTTCATCTTCCAAAAACGCAGGCCACCAGGCACCAGGCACGGCCCTCCGCTGGCAAGGACTATGAGTTGTTGAAGAGTTTGGATGATGCTCTCCCGAACCGCTCTACGCCTCTTGACACCAACCAGACGAAAGAAAGGCACATGGTCGTCTCGTGGGACCGGGGATGACCGAACGCGGCACTTCGACCTCCCTGTCCGGTTGGGGCGTGTCGACTGGCACGGAGCTCCGTCAACGGAGCCGCGTGGACCACACACGAACGAGGACCACGCTCACGCAGCGACCGTCGAAGGGTCGGCGCCACACCTCCGCATAGGTCGCACAGGTGGACCTGTGCGGTGCTCGAGGTGTCGCGGTGTTCTCACTCAGGGGCTTACCGTTTCGCCGCTTCAAACCGTTTCGGTTCGGATGGGGTGGGTGGCGGGGTGGGTGGCGGAGCGAGGAACGGAGGAACGAAGGGTGAGACGTCTGGAGCGTCTAACGACCGCTCTCCGGATCGCTGGGAGGACCCACACTGGTGGATCAGGTTGAACATTGAAACGGCTCTCTGGCCAAAGATTCCAAGAAAAGGTTGACCTGGTTTGGTCGTGTGAAAGATCTAAAGGCTTTTAAATCCGGACCAGGAATCCTATAGGGCCTACCCTAAGAATCCGGGCTCTCCATGCCAGGGGTCGGACCCGACCTCCCTCCCTCTTCGCAAGGGTCGCCCGACAAAAGACCCGGATTCTGTTGCTGAAGGGCCGGATTCTTAGGGCTACTGAGTAATCGCCCAAGTCAAAGGATCTAAGAATCCGGGCACCCAAATCGGGCCTTTCCACCGAAGCGCGACTGTCTCTGTCTCCCGGTCGGGGTCTCCCCCGTCTCGGTGTCGGCGTCCTCCTGAGGGTGCAACTCAGGTGCGATTCATGCGACCAGCCCCTAAGGCCCTACCTTTCGTCGCACCAGTGTTACAGTCATCAGAAGCTTGCAGCGGTCAGGATTTGACCTCCAGGTCGTCAGACTGGAGCAGACTGGGTGATCAGATCAAACAGGTCCCCAAACCTGACCTCTAGAGATGGTCACCACCCACTTTGATTTCGTTCTCAGATAAAAGAGACATGCGATGCCAGTACATCCAACCATGCCGGACATCCTTCCGCCGTCTCTGAGGGCTGAGAAGAGCCACGTCGCTGCGCTGCTGTCCTCTGCGTCCGCCGATCCGCTGTGCGCTTTGGGCGAAGACTGTGGAGTCTGCTTGGATCCTGTGGACTCTGCGGGCGGTCAGATCACGAGGCGGAGCCGGACGCGCTGGCCCCGCGCAGGAGCCTTCTCAACGGCCTGTTGATCACCCATGGGACGGACCTGTGACTCATGGAGATTTGTGTGTCTGATAGAGGTTTGTAAGCAACGTTTGATCCCCACTGCATTCAGGCAAACCACGATGTCGCTGGCAATCAGTGCTTCCAAAGACTGCAACTGTTAATGAATGATACATTTAATGCTAATTTCGATAAGACCTCAAACTCTGGTTTCTGATGTAGTTGTAATTGGGATCCACCGGGATCTACATTTTCTTGTTGCATTTCATGGCGGAAATGATGGTTTTTCGCTCAACAGGCCCGATTTGCTCCAGAGTCGGAGCAGGGCATTCCGCAGATTTCTTCTGGTGGCTCCAGGCACCTCCAGAGCTCCAAGCATCTCCTCCATTCAGACGGCCCACGCGACGCCGCGGTACGCCGCGCCCCGCGCTTCGTCACGCGCTTCGTTTTTCCGCGGGCTGCCGCAGGCTGCCGTGTGACCATGCTTTCCATCCTGCATGCATTGAGAAGTGGCTGACCAAGTTCAAGAACTCGCTCCTTGGACCTTCCTCGGACCAAGTGCGGAGAGATGAACCATGGTGCTTTCACGATTCGCGGTGGGGGCGACGATCCGAAGCACTGACGGTCGCACGCACGTAGCATCGCGTAATCGGGTAGCTGCTAGAGGAACAGTCTTGGGAACGTTGCAGGGTTGCTCTGCATAAGGGAATCACTCCACACCCCAATCCCCTTCCGGTTGATTTTTGTTGTTTCTGGAGCCCAGGTGGTGCATTTGTTCTGAACAGGTGTTCTTTGTTCAGGAACCGCATCCTTGCTTGCATCGTCGGGGCCGCTCGAGGATCGGTTTTTGGTTGGTTGCTTTTTACTAGTTTAATGGTTTGGTGCAGCCTGCGCTTTTCGGACATTCACAGCGTGTCGACCTTCCGTGCAAACCTTGGACGCCGCGATCCGTGGCTGGTCTGGCGGAGCAAGACCAGTCCCACAGGTTTTGCGTGGGGATGTTGGGACTGTGGTGCAACGGGCTTGAGCTGGGGTCGCGAGTTTGGTGCATTCCTTGCAGTTCTGCGCGAAGCTTTCCCAAAGCGAGATTTCCTTTTATCTGACGGTGCGCGACCGCTACAATGCAATATTCTTGTGCGTTGGCCCAGCTTCGCAGATGTCGCGATCCTGCATTAAAAGGGTTTCGTCAGTGTGGCCATCCGCTTAAGAAAGCAATGAGCCCACATTGATTCGGGCGCGCCCCAAGACTGTCCGACTCATTGAAAGTCCCGCAGGCACGGGCGTGGTTAAAAGTCCCACAGGCGTGGGCATGGTACGAAGTCCCATGGTGGAAAGTCCCACAGGCGTGGGCGCACGGTTAGAATTGCCCCAGGCAGAGCCATGCAGAGCCATGGTTTGAAGTCGCGCAGGCGTGGGCATGGTTGCAAGTCCCACAGGTGTGGGCATGGTTGCAAGTTCCACAGGCGTTGGTGGAAAGTCCCACAGGAGGGCATGATTGACACCCCCGATTTGGGCATCGGTGTGGTTCTCACATGTGTGGGCCCGGTTGGAAGTCCCCCGTAAGGACTTGGTGTTGCTTTTTGTGACCCTTGGATTGAGGGTTTCAGGGAGTGGTACACTTGCCAGTGGGCCCCAGCATGGCGGTCATGGTTTCGTGATTCGATGCGTGGAGAGTCAGGCGCCCTGAAGAAGTTGCGAACGGGCGTATGTTGAAAGTGGATTGAGTGCAAGGATGCCAACTGCCGTTTCAAGCATGCTTGCAGCGTTTGCGGGCATACAAGACATGACTCCAGCAAGTGCCAAGGCAGGCGCCCTCCGAAGCTCCAGTGACTAGATCGGCCTGTGGCCAGTGAGCGCCCAAGCGTGCTGAATCTGGCGCCTCCGCCTTGTGTGGAGGAGTTAGGGGGGGTGTCTCGCCAACGGACAGTGTGCTGTCGGGCAGTTTCGTCCTCTTCCTTCTGACCCTCTGGCGCAGATTGGAGCACGCCTCGCGTGCCCGATGTGTTTGCAGATTTGTAACGTCTTTGGCTGTATCACATCAGCTCTTGGGGTTTGGTGGAGCGTCTGCGGAATCACGTGTCAATTGCACGGCGGGAAGCGTTGTTGAATGACGATGAAGTTGATATATTGCGCGCCGATGTGTCACTTTTTCTGAAAGATCACGGCCATCCATGCAACACCGTGGTGTCAGCGGGCCAGCCATTGGCCTTAGAGCTCTGGGATGCGTTAGCTCATTTTTTGGGAGATGTAGACGCTGGTTTGCCAAGTATTTTGCAGAGGGGTGTGCCCACGGGCGTGCTCGCGACTATCCCATGTTTTGGGGTGTGGCAGCCAACGGACTGTGCTGAGCGGCCGGCGCTTGATTTGCAGGTGCACGGAGAGCCGTGGCATTCTGCGACAGCCGACCCCGACTGTCTCATGAAGCTTGTCTCCGCCAATGTCGCAGCCGGGTTTGCGAGTGGCTGCCTGGCGGCTTAGAAGAAGCTGGGGCGAGGTTTGGTCCTCTTTGCGCTGCTGGCAAGTTAGATCTAGTACACAAAGACTAAGATGGCGCAGAACTGATCGGGGACGGTACTCTTTCGAATGCGAACACCTTGTGCCGCATCGCTGAGCGGGTCGAGTTAAGTTAACCTCGTTTTGCAAGACCTGCCCATGTTTGTTTGTCCAAGCTAGTTTACAAGACTTGTTCCATATTTCTTGCCATTTATGTGGATGACTTGTTGGCGCTCTTCCCAAGAAGCTGTGCGCCTCTGATGTCTTGCCTTTGCATTTTCTGGGCATCGGCCTTGGGGTTGCCCCTTTTGGTGGCATGAGTTGCAGCTGGCGGATTCGTTGCGCTGGATTGGTTGGGAGATTTCCTTGGCCGGCGCCAAAGTGGCGCTGGCTGAATTGCAGCCCCTTTGCCTGCGGCGGGCCAAGCTCAAAGCGGGCAGACCTGCAGAAGCTAATCAAGCGCCTGTGTTGGCTGAGCACTGGCTTAGAGTGGCTGAAGCCACGGCAGCGTGGTCTTTTCCACATGGTGACCAAGCCGCATTTGCATTTCAAAACTTTGGACGAAGGGAGGCTGCTTGAAGTGCAGCGCCTGCTGGGTTTGACATGACCTTGTCGCAGCACTACAGCCTGTCCGATGTTCTAACAGGATGGAAGCTGCTGGAGGTGGGCCAGGCGAGGTATCAGATGCGAAGCTGAAACATGGCCGCGCTTGGGCAAAGTTCAGTGACAGCAGTAGTGAGTGCGCGCGGGCTACAGGTGAGGGCCTTCTTCAGAGTGATTTTGGTTTCGGCCCCTCCAGTGCATTTGGTTTACGTGGAGAGTCACAGCCTGCGTGCTGCAGCTGACGCCTTTGCATCAGAGGACGTGGTGGGGCTAGATGGCTGCCTCCTCCTGCCGGGAGCACCATTATGCCCTTCAAAAGTACGGTGTGTTGAGATTTCTGCGGGGTTTGTGCCTGGTGGCAAGGGCCTCTGCGCTGGAAGCCCTGGCGCAACTTGTGTTGTTGTCCCGAACATTGTGCCGGAAGGCGGATAGACTGCGACAACCTGAGCGTGGTCGGCGCGGCTTCTCACGGCAGCTCTTCATCTGACGCGTTGAACACCGTGCTCCGAGCAGTGTCTTGTCTTTGCGCTTCACGGGGGGCCACCGTGCAGGTCTCAGATGTGGCCGGGGCCCGGAATGATTGGGCAGATGCCCTGTCGCTCGGCGTGCGCCACCAGCCTCAGTTTTGGGAGCATTGCTGCGATGCTGACTGGCAAGGTCTTTGGGCCTCGTGAAGCCTATGCAGGCCATACAGTGCTTGCACTCGCACTTGCCCTGATGGGCAGCCCAAAAATTACACCGGCAAGGGACCCCAAATAGTGTAAAGAGGAACAGATGGAACATGCCATCACGTGGAAGGAAAGAAGGAGCACACAGATGAGAGCACAAATATGAGAGGATACATACAAGAGCACAAATGTGAGAGTGCACAGATGAGAGCAGCAGATGCGGAAGCATGTGAAAGACCAGAGGGACCAGGCGTGAGTTTGTAAGGAGGAGAGTGCGACCAACGTAGTGCCAAAAATGCTAGAGTAGTATGGCTTGAAGGTCGTTGTAAAACAAAGAGCTACGACTGCATACGCGCATGTTTTCCGCGTGTGCATGCAGTGGCAAGCTGCGAGTGCGTGCGACTCCGATGCGAGGGGCCGCCCCAGCGCAACCGCATGGGACGAGGTGAAGGATGCGACGAAGCCGGAGAGTAGACTGTCAGCTTGTGGAGGATATCAGGACGCAAGCCATGCATCATACTCGGCATCCACGTGGCACCAAAGAACCCGGCCGCCGCGCGAAATGGGATTGGCAGCACGCGCCTCCAAAAGAGTCAACAACAAGGGGGCCAGGTATTTGGTTCCAATCTGAGAGCACATAGGCGAGTACATAGGAGCATTTCGAAGTTCACAATGTACCGCGCCTGCCACGAAATCTGCACATCGAGGTTCACAAAGTACTGCCCCTGCCTCGAAATCTACACATTGAGATTCACAAAGTGCTGTGCCTGCTACGAAATCTGCACATCGAGATTCACAAAGTGCTGCACCTGCCACGAAATGTGCACTTCCAGACTCAGCAAGTGCTGCGCCTGCCACGAAATCTGCACATCTAGATTCACACAGTGCTGCGCCTGCCACGAAATCTGCACATCGAGATTCACAAAGTGCTGCGCCTGCCACGAAATCTGCACATCGAGATTCACAAAGTGCTGCGCCGGCCACGCAATCTGCACATCTAGATTCACAAAGTGCTGCGCCTGCCACGAAATCTGCACATCGAGCTTCACAAAGTGCTGCGCCTGCCACGAAATCTTCTCATCGAGATTCACAAAGTGCCGCGCCTGCCACGAAATCTGCACATCGAGATTCACAAAGTGCTGCGTGTGCCACGAAATCTGCACACCGAGATTCACAAAGTGCTGCGCCTGCCACGCAATCTGCCCATCGAGATTCACAAAGTGCTGCGCCTGCCACGAAATCTGCACATCGGAGATCCAAAATGAGCAAATTGCACGAGGCTTTCGCAAATTTTGAAATGCGTTTCAGAAATGCTGTGCCTGCCACGAAATCACGCCTGCAGGTCATACGAAATGCTGCACTGGCCACGCAAAAGCATCCTCAAGTTCAAATTCCAAAAATGCGACCCCTCTCACGAATTCAGCCGTTTCACCTCAAAATATCGCATCCATGGTGCGGATTCCCTGCGCCTGCCACGTGAAACGCAGTCCTGCGAATGACGCACGCCTGCCAACGTTTTTGCAACGTCCACAAAACACTGCGCCTGCCACGAAATTTGCAAAGTCTCCGATTCCTTGCACCTGCCACGTAAAATGACCTTTTCGAGGCTCCAATGTGTCGAATTCCTTGCGCCTGCCACGCAAAATGCACTTCATGTCCGAAAACGAGCACGGCACCTGCACGAGAGCTTTGTCCCGGAAGCGCGAAAACCGCGACACCCACTTTATGCGAGCCTGCGCAGTCGAAATGGACATGAGGAATTCAAAAAGTAACTTTTGTGCGAGCCGGCCCACGCAAAATGCCGCAACCACACGCGCGAACCCTGATCTAAACCCGGCCCTTAACTCTTACCATAAGAACCCCTTAGTGCGGAGCACTATTTGGGAAAAAAGAGGGGCGCCACGCGGCACAGGGTTGCGCTTCGACCGCGCGGTGGCTTGGGGCGTTTTTTGGGGCGGTCACGGCTTTTGGCGACGGCTTTGCTTTGGGGACCAGGGTTGGTGCCAGGTCTGAGGTGCTCCCAGCCTGGCACCACCCCTTGGAGCTGTCGCCAAAAGCCGTGCGCTGTTTCAGGGAAGAGAGGTTTTGGGGCTAGGAGTGATTCTGGGTACCACTCGACCGGGGCCTAATGTTATGTGTACCTGAAAGCGACCTCATTCGTTTGGGCCTGTCTGCACCCCCTTGAAGACGGGGCGCAAGAAGACATTGCTCGGCTTTGAAAGGGCTTTGAAAGATTTGGTAAAGTCCATAGAGGTGCCATTTTTGTGCCCAGGTGCCCACTTTGCGGTGCGGCTCCAGCGTGATGAGGGGAATGTACATATTTCATACAGGATTTGAAGTGGTCTTGAATTTGCACCGTTCTGCGGGTTTGCATGCGCATGATCCTCTGGGAAAATCCCAAAAGATCAAGAAGGGGGTTCCCAAATCCTCCATGGCTTGCACCATGGAGGTTTCTCGCAAACTCCATATCAAGACAGGGCCATTGAATGGTTGCCGATGATTGAGAATTCCCAGGTTTTGCAATTCTCTGCAAGTCGATTCCATAGGTGCACAACTCAGAGTCGCTAGGTGGCTACAAGTGCATTGCCTAAGTCGGCCATCGAGTCAAGCAGCCGCCGTGTGAATCATGTAGAAAATTCATGAGTTCGGAAGTGGGGGGG